TTATATTATTATAAAATAAATTGTTAAACATTATTATTATTGGTTTAGTTTTTTAAATATATATTTTATATTATTATTATTGTTATTAATATTAATAATAATAATAATATTATATATTTTTATAAATAAAAAAAAACTTTTTCTACTAATTAACAGTACCAAAAACAGCACTAAACAAATTATAAACAAATCTCAAATTCAAGACAAAAAAATAATAACTTTACTTCTAAAAATAAAGATCTAACATTCAAAAAAATAGATATTTAAATAGAATTAAATTCTTATTAAACTTGAACATACAGTATCATTATAGTTTTTAAATTATTTTTGACAAATTTTTATACAAATTGTGAAAGTTGTCTTGTTTTCAAAATACAAAAACACATAATATATAACTAATAAACAAAAACAAACAAATAAATAACTAAGATCTATTTTAAAAAAAAATAATAATAAAGGTGTGGCAACCTAGTAAAATAGTCAGGTTATTAACTTCCAAGTGGCAGTTCTAGAGTTCAAATCCCAGTATCAATGAAAAATTTAAAAATTCTCTCTGTGTTATGATTAACTGTTTCTTACAATTGGTTGAGATAAGACACCTGTTACCTATGTCACACCAGCATGACTGGCAGGTCACATGGCATTCATATAATAGTCACATAACATTGTCCTTTGGAACAAGCTCTGTGGTTACATGAAGGAATGCAAATTGGTACCAGGTAGTGCAAACTTATAATAAGTCTTCATGGCCATGTAAATTATAGAAACCAAAAAAAAAAGATGAAAGCCTACTTGAAAGACCTAAGTAAATAGGTAACCTGAACTTTTGACAGTGCTACTGTAAAGACTAGACTTATGAAACAGAGCTAGAACTTGTAAAATTGGGCAAATGTGCCAGTCTTTAAGAAAGGACTAAATGAACCAACTAGGCTGCCAGAATTTCCAAGTTTTAGAAAAAAAGAGTACATATTGGCAAACATGTAAACCAGAGATGTATGGTTTTGATCTATCTTTCTAGACTATCTGGAATGGCAGCTTGGTGAAACTTTAATTGAATACTAAAATAGTAAGGATATGTTGTGAAGTTAGTACCAGAATTGGGGTAAACTCTACAAAGACATAGTGGTTTAATAATACATACTGACTACCAGTGTTGGTCTCAACTATAGTAATACTGAATCAGCTATAAGAATAGGATACAGAAGGTTCTGGAAGATTTAGTACAAGGTTAAAGGTTCCAAAAAACTGCCTTAAAAATTTAGTGGCCATGACATATTTTTACCAGCATTAGCCAGAGTTGTTGATAGGCAAAAGTAGGTGGATGGATATGAAAACAGAGTGGTTAAATAGGGAACTTACAAGTGGGTTTCAGATATGACAACAAGTATAGAACCTTCAGGCAGACTACTTAAATTAGACAATAACTAAATTTGTATAAGTAACTAGTTGTACACTCTCTCTATGGTTGCCTTTTGTGGTTGTAATGCAATCATTAGCCAAATATACTATCAATAAAATCCTAGGTTACAAGTATTCACCTTAATATTTAAAAAAAAAAAGAATAATAGTTACACAACAACAACAAGTAAATAAGTTATATATAAAATCAGATAAGGAATCAGACTTAGAATAAGTATTTAGATAAACAAAAATTAGTTAAATTAAATATAACAAATAAGATAAAAGAGTTATATAAACAAAGAATATTATATTGCATTAGCAAATTAGATATTAAAAATTTAAGATTTATAAATAGTAAGATATTAACCAAAAAACTAAGAACAATAATGTTTTATGTTTCTAATAACAGTAAACATATGACTAAAAGTCTGGCAATAATAGATCTTGACAAAATTACAGCAATAAATTTACTAATCTATAGTCAAATATTAAGTCTATTAAGAGTAGAGAAAAGTATTTTAAAATTATATATAAATCTAATAATAATTTTTTTTTATATTTAATTTTATAAAAATTATATTAAATAACCTAATTTTAATCATTAAATAAAAGTTGCAAAATATGTCTTTTTGATTCTAATAATAATAAAATTATTAAAATAGATTAAAAACTCATTGAGATATAAATTTTTAAAGATTAGAATATAAAATTATACAAATAATAAAATTAACTAATAGGTTTATATAAATAACTAATCAAATTCTTTATTTCTATATTATCTAAGTAAATTTTAGTTCATCTAAGTAAACTTTATTATATATGCAAGTATATTTTTTTAAAATAATACAATATTTCAAAATTTTATTATAATAGATAAATAATTTTATTTATAATATTATAAAATTTTTTTATTATTTAATTAAAAAATAAAAAAGTTTTATTAGTAGTATATATTAAATTTAGATGAAAATTTTAATATAACTATATAAAAATAATCTACATTATTCTATTCTTAAGACAAAAAAAAAGTAGAATTCTGAATGATACTCTAATTAAAAAATAAATAACAAAATCTAAAATAATCTATAAAAACTCAGAAGCAGTAAACTATATAACAAATATGAATAATGAACAATTTAAGAAAAAAAAACAAAATAGAAAATATTAAAAAAAAGTAAAGTAAAAAAGCTTCAGAAAATGAATACAAGAAAACAATGACAAGAAGAACTGAAGTTAGTAGAAGAAGAATTGGAGTTTCATAAGATAGCAGAACTAACTAAAAGTAGCAACTATATAAAGAAAAAGAATTAGTTAAATATAGAAATAACAAAACAAATATTTATGACAATACTCTCTAAAATGGTCAAAAAAGAAGGCATAGATAAAACAAAGCTAATGGATAAAAAGTTTAAAAAAGATCAAGAAGTACTCTTGGAGAATATACTCAAAGATAGCAAGAAAGCCTATAAAAAAGAAGCTCAAAAAGAAATCCAAGAGTAAAAAGAAAAAAAAAGTGAACATTATAGCTTTAGAAAACCAAATATCAGCAATACTGTTAGAAGATAGCTTGTAGTTATTAGAAAATAAACTATGTAACAAAATAATTTATTTAAAGTAACATTATAGCTTATGATCTAAAAGAAAAAAAATAAAGCTGACAGAGTAAATTATATAAAATAGATGCTAGAAGATAACAAATATATTAACTTAATTAGAAAAGAATTCAAAAAAGAAAACAACTAAGTAGTAATTAACTTTAATTATATATTTGATAAAAATACAGCAATTGAGAATGTTAAAAAAAAAGAAAAAGGTTAGTTAGTTATTATTTAAAAGAAACAAAAAAAAATCATACAGAAATAAATCATAAACTAACTAAAAAATACAAAAAAGATTTCCTTCAACCTATCCTAGCTAGAAAATAATTTGAAACAATTATCTATAGCACTCATTAGAAAATAGGAGATGTAATGTCACATTGGGTATCTATTATTTTAGCAATACAAATGTAGTTTAGAAATCTTTATTTTAGGAATTTTTTTTTGTAATTAAATTTTTTATTGTATTTTAAAGTTTTTACTATGATATTATATAAATAAAAAAAAAAAATACAAAAAAAAGAAGACAAACAGATCTTTTTAGACAATATAGATGATAGAAAATCAAATAAAAGAAAGGAAGAAAATGCAGAAAAATATAAAATTCTAACAATTTGGAATTTACCTTCAAATATTAATAAAAAAAAATAAATATATATATAAAAGTTTCTAAAATCTACATATAACACAAATCAAAAGAATACAAAATTAGATGTTAGCAGTAATTAAAGTTAGATTTAAAAAAAAAAATATACTTTGGTCTTTGTTATTAAAAAACAACAAATTTATAAAAATAACAGAAAAAGATAAAAACTATGACCAAAGAGATAAATGGTGTCAATTTATAACAAAACTGTTAGATATTCTCAAAGAAGCCTCAGAAGTTTTACTTTTAAAATGTTTAAAAAATAAAGAACTATAAAATTTATATATTCTAGTAAACAGAAATAGGAACCAAAAAAATTCATAATAATAATCTTTACAAATTTAAAGAAATAGATTTAGCTCAAACAAAACCAATATAATACAATAACAATCAAGTAACTTAAAAAAATTATCAAAGAAAAGAACTAAAAAGAAAAAAAGTATTAAAAGAAAAAAGACAAAAGATATCAAAATTAACAAACAGAAGATCAAAAACTCTTAAACCAAAAAAAACAGATTAAAAAACAGCAAAAGATAATAATAAGAGCAAAAAGCAAATTTTGAAAGACCAAATAAAATATTTAGCAGACAGTATAACAGAAAAAAATACTTAGTAAAAAGAAAAAACAAACTCAAAACTCAAATTAAGAAAAGAATTCTAAATACAAAAGACATTCTAATTAAAATTTTAGATTGACTAAAAAGCTAAAAAAGACAGGAGAAACAATAATAAAGAGTCTTGCAAATTACTTCTAAAACTTGGCATAGTTAAATTAAAGAATTCAGATATAGAAACAGTTTTCTCTTTACAGGATCCAAGGCATAGACAGAAGTTAATGCATATGAAAGCTCTACAAACTGTTAATAGTAAAAAAGCTAAAAAGAGAAAAAGAAACATTATAGAAAATAAAAAAAAATATACATAAGAAGAATTTATACAAAAACAGTATAGAATTAAATTGACAACATATAATATTAATAGCATTAAAAGTAATAACCAAAAGATGAAGACATTATATGCATAGATATTAGACAACAATATTGATGTATTGTTATTTACAAAAATAAATATTACAATAAGAAAAAAAATTTTAACAAAAGATTGTAATAAATATAAAAGCTTTTGGGCAAGAGCAAACTCAAAACAAAAAAAAGGTTCAGATATAGAGTTTTTAATTAGCAAACAATGAGAAAAGTATTTAGACTAAGTAGATAAAATAAGAAATATATAATTTTAGCCAATTTTATATTTAAGTAAACAAAAATCTTAGTTATTATAATATATGCCTCATCTAACAACAAAGAAGAAAGATTAATTATATAAAAAACTCTAGTAAAAAAAGATATAAAATGCACAATAAGAACACAGTAATAATAAGTGATCTAAACTATATAGTAGATACAGAACTAGATAAATTGCAAAAATCTAAACAAAAATCTGAAAAGCAAGACCTACTAATTAAGTGGCTATTAAGACAAGAGTTTTAAGATATTTATAGAACAATTAATATAAAAGAAAAAAATTTACATGGTTAGATAAAGAACAAAAAAACAAGAATTGATTATAAATAAGTTACAGAAAAACTTTTCAATAGGTTTTTAAATGCAGAAATTTAAGAAATAAATATTTGCACAAACAGCAATCATGAAACAATTATAACAAGAATAAACTTAAATCATCTAATTGCAGTATATAAAAAAGCAAAGATTAAAAAAAAGAATTATTAAAGAACAGTACTACTATACAACAAAACTATAAAAAAAATTTGGGATAATTACAAAACTGAACTTGAAGTACAACTAAAAAGAAAAATTATATTACTAAAACTGAAGCAGGTCTTAGTAAAAAGATTGCTTAATAAAAAAAATAGAAGATTAGATAAGTGATAAGACATTATAAGTAATGTGATATGAGTAGCAGCAAAGAAAACACTATATAAAAAATGAATTCTAAGCACAGTAGCAAATAAGAAAAGGACAAGAAAATTAAAACTAGGAAAACACTTGCACAATTGAAAAAATGAATTAGTCTAGAAAGATAGAATATTAAAATTAAATAGTTAAAAGAAAATATAAAAGAGCTAATAAGAAAATTGAATAAATAAACTAGTAACAAGATGTATATATTGAAAAAGCATAAGAACAATAGTTTAAAAAACTAATATTAGACCTTAAAGACTGGTAACAAATTCTTTATACAAGACAAGCATATGAAATTCAAAAGCTTAAAAAAAAAAACAAAAAAAAATATTAATAAAAAGTGTATGAAAATAAATAGAGAGTAAGAAAAAATACTAGCAAGCCTTCTAGACTAACTATATACTAAAATTAAAATCAACAGATTGCTTAAGAATGAAAATAATACAGGAAGGTGATAAAACTTTTTTTATATCTAAGAACTTGACTTATAACTTAAAAACTTACTAATTAATTTACAGTATATCTTTGATAATTCAATATTAATTCTTATTCTTTGATAATTATGTCATATCATTTTTAGATCTCATACTTGTATAATTAGTAGTTATTTGATTTTACTTTTAGGATTTAGATAGATGATATAAGTATTTATGTTTTTTTATAAATATTTTAATAACTATTAGCTCAAAATTTAATAAAATTTTAATATGTTATAGAAGAAGGTATTCTCTATAAAATAATATAAATTTTACTTAATTTTAATTATTAGTTAATAAAAAAATTAATAAAAACAAAAATTTTATATTTAAACTTTAAAATTAATTTTCTTAATGATTATTAATCTAAAATAAATAATTCTTTTTTTGTTTAATAAACATATTTTTTCTATAAAATAAAAAAAATTATTAAAATTTAATTATTAGTTATAGAGATAATTTAAATAATTTATCATAATATATTAATTTTCATTAGTTATCATATATTGTAATTATTTCAATAACTAATGATGAACTTTAAATATTTTTTTTTATTTTGTAGAAAAGATAAAACATTTTAAAATAAAAAAAATTATTTAATTTCAATTACTAGAAGCTGAAATAATTAGAATCAAAGTTTGTCATAAAATTTGTATCATTACATCATGATTTCATCAACAATTGTTATGATAATTATGTAATATAATCATTAAGATATCTAAGATTCCTATTTATCTTCTTGCCTATAAAAAACCTACTTGCAAAATACTATCTCATAGATAAATCTAACTATTTACCTATATATTTATTCATTAATAAAGATATATTACTTATTTTTAGAAACATCTAATTATTCATCTACTTGCTGGTTCTGCTAATAAACATCTAACTATTTATTCACTTACTCAAACATCAAAATATCTAACTATTTATCAACTCTATTAAGACATTTATTTACTGTTATTAAAACATCCAATTATCTACCTATTTATCAAGATATTTGGCTATCTACTTTATTTTTAAAACACTTAACTATTTACCTATATACTTAACTATCTATCTATTTACTTATTATTAAAAATGTCTATTTACTTATTAGAATACAAAGAAAATAGTATATAAAACAAAGAAAAAAATAAAAAATAAAACAAAATAAATAAAAAATTAAGATAATAAATAAAAAATAAAATATAAAAGTATGATACTAAATACTATAAAAATAAAAAGTAAAAAGAATTTAGAATAAGAATTTAAAAGAAAAAAATAATTTAATTTAATAAATTAAGAAGACAAAATAAAATAAATAAAAGTTAATTTAAAAAAAAGTATTTTTTAAAAAAATATTAGGGGTGTGGTAACTTAGTAAAGTGGATAAGTTGTCAACCTCCAAGTGGTAGGTTGTGAGTTCAAAACCTATTAACAGTAAAAATTTGAATAATCATCTATGTAATATATAGATAATATTATGACAATGGCATTTTGTCAATTAGTTGAAATAGGATACCTGTAACTATAGTCACACTAGCATGACTGGCAGGCCACAGGACATCTGTGTAATCTTGGTTATACAGAGGGATGCAAACTGATACTGGGCAGTGAAACCTAAGATAAGTTTTTGTAATTATATAAATTTGTAGAACTGAAAAACCAGAGTCCACTTGGAAAGACCTGAGTAGAGAGGTAATACAGATCTTCAATAGTATCATTATAAAGACTAGACCTAGGAAACAGATATCAATATGAAGGAGCTAGATAGGCAAGAAACTCAGGTAAGAGGTACTACCAACCAGGCCACTAGAACTTAACTAAAGAAAAAGGATATCAGACTGGCTTGATATACTAAGAACAGGTTACAGTTTTA